AAAAAAAAAAAAAAATTAAAAAAAAAAAAACATTTGTGTCATTGCAGAAAGTTTATCAAGACAGCACTGTTCTAGACAATACACTTAGCACTTTAAATACATTTTTTCATTTCCTTCTCTCAAAGCATCTATGAGGTATAGAGGTTATCATAACTGTACAGATATGGAAACCGAGGCTCAAGGAGATTAAGGACTTGCCTAATAGCACAGTCTAGTTGGGTTTAGAACATGAATCTGAAATCTGGTCTTACTTACTCTTAAAATCCCACCATTTCTCCCTATATTATAGATTGCCTCTGAGATATAAACCACCATGGAGGATGCTTGATGAATGTGGAGCATGAAATATGTATATGATGATAGAGCAAAAGCAGGGAGAAAGGGGGAAATAGAGAGTTTTAGATAAGAATGGGGGATGCATGACTGATAAATTATGACACTGAAATTCTGCCTTAGTTTCTTTTCTCTGAGAAGAGCCATCTTTTATATATGATGAGGTCAGTAGACTGTTGTATGTCCAGGACAGAATGGTATGGTGGGGAAAAAAGATTTGGAGTTAAAACATTTGGATTTATGTCTGGTTACATCATTGACTATCTGTGGTTGCAGTCAAGTTACCTAATGATTTAACTTGCCCACGATTATGTACAACCAGAATTCAGACTCCAGTCTCTCTGACCTAGTGTTCTATTTAATGGTGTCTATAATCTTAACCAGTAGGCTGAGTTGTCTTCCCTAATCTCTGACCTTTGTGATACTGTTTACCCTCCTGTGAAATGGGTATGTTATCTGGCCTCACTAGCACCCGGAGGGAGTCCACACAGTAAAGTACTTGAAATGGTTCAGTTAGAGGCAGCTGGTTTCAGCAAGCAGAGATGCGTATTTATAAGGCGATTTGGGATGATTTGAAGCAGAATTATTGTAAGAAGACTTTTTTGGCACTTTTAAAAGTGGTAACTTTTATAACCTGGATTTTTTAAATCATTTAATAATACCATCTTCAACTAGAAGACCAGAATCTTTATTCATTTTTTACCCAAAAATTTGAAAAGAAGTTTTATACTAATTACAGAATATATTTACTCCGCTTTTATCAAGGTAATGTATTTTTGTGGGAGGCAAGGGTAGGGAGAGAACTCTATTTCCCCATCCAAGACATAACTTATGTTCAAAGGGAAAACTAAATCTAAACCACCAAGCTGTTACCTTTGAAAACGATTAGTGGAGTCTATTGTGTTTTAACCAAACATTTTAGTTTAAAGGATTTTATATTAAAGGCAATTCAAATACTCCACAACTCAAAGATAATGTTGGAATCTGGTTTAAATAAAATAATAAAATCCAGAAAATCTACTGCAAGGCCTGGAACTCTGCACAGCAGGTTCCACAGCAGAGCAGGTTAAAATCGATGCTTTCACTTGTCAGTCTTAATTTGCTTTGGTCTCTTAGAAGGTAGAAGCATGCTGTTAGTGAATGCAAGCCCTCCTCCTCATTAGATTAAGGAGGGTTTTCATCCAGCTTTCTCAGAAGTACTAAATAAGTGAAGATTTCTATTCATTTTTAATTGTTTTGAAAAATATTGACTCTGTGCTCTGTGGTTCACTTAATATGCTTAATGTAAAATAAAGCTTATGCTTTGAATTTATGTTTCATTTAGTGCTGTGCAAGCATCTGCAGAACATCAGAAAAGACTTCAACAGTTCTTGGAGTTCAAAGAATAGCTCAGTAATATAAACTGTGTTCATTACACTGCTGATACAGCTACAGATGGGACAGTAAATGTTCAGCATTCTTGGATCAGAAGAAAATGGACTAATTAGATGCTTCCTTTGTCGTGGTGGTTGCTTTGAAAACTATACTTTAATGGGAGAAATCATGGAAAGAAATTCTCAACAGAATAACCAAAAACTGCCTTTTCTGTACCGATGGCTTTTTGTGTGTGTGGTATAATAAAATCTTTATTCAATTTTACAGAAGCCTCTCTGGCAGTAGAAATGTCTTTAGCTTCTATAGCTTAATAATAATAACTGGAAAATGTTTAGAATTTACTTTTGAGCTGAGTAGAACCAGTTCAGAAGGTAAAATAGATTGACTTGATTCGGTCTTCGTGATTGCTGTGAGTTTAACTCTCTGTGCACTCGAAATATGTAAACTTTTTAAGAGTGGTTTCTGCTTACTGAAGGATGAAATGGTAATAGTGGAGAAAAATTCACAGAAAAATTATTGTTTAAAGGACATATTTTGTTAATCTGGTAGGTTGTGTTTTTCTTTCCAGGGACAAATTAAATTTGCATGATTGTCCAAAAAAAAGGTCTCAATTTACAGATGCTAACTCTCTATAAAGGAATGTGGAAAAATTCAGTTCTTAAGTTACAAGATCAAACATTCATATTTGATTTTTGAAAGACGATTGACTGACAACTATGAATTTGTTTTGTATCAGGCTAGTAAACAATAAGTGTATGGGTATTTTCCCCAACTAGTTTTGCTTTCTTTTTCTGGAACAAAACATTAAGCGATTGCAGAGCTTTTTAAGTGAGAGAAGAAGTTTTGCAACAAAAACCAGGAAACTTTCCCTTTCCCCCCGCCCCCCCCTTCATCTTCATTAGATCAAATTATTTGGTGAAGCTCGTTTGGCCTCACAGAGGGAGCAGCCTTTGCTGTGTTAACTGGCTAATAAAAATATATTAGGAAAATCTTTACAACCAGAAACAACTTAGTCATCAAATAGCAAGTGAAACCAAAATGTCAGAGGGCTTACTGTACTTGGGAGTATGTTGTATGCCCCCAAAATGAGCAAAGTAATTTTACAATTTATTAGATCAGCTTCTTTGGAGATGGAAGATTGGAAATCCCACTGGTAGTATTCACTGGACTAGCGTTAGACTGAAATGCTCCCTTGTAATTCTTTCCCTATTATCTTTTCCTTCCACCCTTTCCCAGTTTCTTCTTTAAAGTCAGCACAGTATTGTGTATGAATCTTTAATGTGGTATGTATGTCTGCCATTTGTCTGATTACTTGATGTATTATATCTTTATTCCTTTTATTCGTTGCCCCATCAACCAGCGCATGCCAAATTATAAATGAATCCTGCTGGCCTTTTGAGCGTCTTTAGGAGACAGTTCCCCAGTTGTCAAGTGTTTGGAGTATTTAGGCTAATTGCCATTGCTTTATTTTTTCTCATCTGAAGTGGAGTGATCTCTTTTTTGAATATGAAAATTGAATTTCAAATGTGGTAATTCCTTGGAGATGGCCAGAAGAGTGTGGCGAGGTTGACTGAAGACTGTTGAATTCCATGTTTTGGAGCCATTGAGCTTTTTCTGTTGCACTGTCTGTGCTGTCCCTGGCTGAGGCATTTTGGGAGAAAAGGACTCTTAACCTTCTGCTTCCCTTAAAGAATTGTGGCACTTCACCCACTGGATCCTGGAGATTGACGAAGAGATGGTTCCTGTAAGCTTTCAGTGACTTGGGTAAAGTATCTGGCCAGGCTTAGTTTTTTGCCATTTCTCATGCTTTGGGAAAAGGTACATGTGATGAGCCATGTGAAAATTTGAGAGGTGTTCATCCCTATTTTCTCTCAAGGGAATGTGCTGTGTACAAAATACAGGTCACATAATGTCCGCCTGGTGGAGATTTGGAAACTCCGCCCAAACGTGGATTGTATTTAGTAGATAAGAGAGGTAGTTCCTTTTCCCCATTATGTGTTGATAACCTACACACCATCCGCTGAGGTAGGGTATTGCTCGGCCACCTGTTATTAAAGGGAGCTCCCTCTCCTGTGTACAAGGAGGAGGGTCTTAGAAAGGCTAAGAGGAGGGAAGCATTTCCTTTGATGAAGTCCTATCCTGCCTGTGAGCCCACAGGTGCTCTATGACATTGGCCTGAAAATTAGAGAGTGTTCTTTAAAAGTGTTTCTCTGTCAGTACAAAACATGGTTCTTTTCAGCACTTGTAATGTTTGCTTCACCTTATGGGGGGTATAAATTCAGGTAGCTTCTTTCCTGGGGAACCGGGAAACTGTCCTAGAATGAACCGTGTATATACCCTTGAGTAGATGTGTGTAAGCAACAATTTGTTACTTTGCTGGATTGTTCCTTGATAGTTGGTTTGTGTATCTTCCTGTAAATGTGGTAATCTATTTTATCCTTTTGTATATCACTGATACTGAATTGGGTAGAAAAATAAATCGACAGTTTTGCTAAATGGAACTGTTAAAATATGTGTATCCTTAAGGTCATTTATTTAATATCTGGTGTGTGTGTGTTCTTTTAGCCCTTTCAATCAAGCCTCAGTTGCTTACAAAACTTGAAAAGGTTTAACTTCTTGATAAATTAGCTGTTGCCCCTAACTGAACTAATTTGGTGGATATCTGTGTTCAACGATAACCAAGGAACCTGAATTCTGAAGGTCTCTTTCTTCCTTGTCTTGGCTGCCTTTCTTCCAGAACTAAGCAAAGGATGTAGGTGCTGAAAGCCATCCCTTAATAGAATTTTCTTTTCTTGCCAGTATACTGTTTCTGAATGGCTCATGTTCCCCAGGCTCACGGTTATGTCTGTCAACTTTACTTAAATTAGTCTCAGTCTGAACGTCACCTCGAGGTTGTTGAGGCACTACACTAAGGCCCTCAACTCCCTCTTATGCTCTCCCAACCCATAGTTCTCTTTCTTTAAAACCAAATAGCTTAAAACAAAGATGGCTTTAATTCCTCAGTTAATAATCCAGCTGTTATTAGCAAGCTGCTGACCACCGTTTTAAAATAGACAAAATTGTTCTTGTTTTAAGGGGTATAAGACAAGGTAGGACAAGCACATAGGCCTGTAGTTCTCAGTCATGGTCCTAAGCAACCTTGGCAGTTGCTGTACTGATGTGCAGGTTGATCCAGAGCTAGCTAATCATTCAAAAACATTCACTGAATGTCTGTTACAGCCCAGCTATTGGAAACAAATTGAACTGTGAACAAGACAGTTCTTGCTTGCCCTTGAGAAGTTTATAATCTAATGCAGTGGCATTTGAAGCTTGGAATCAGAAACATGAGCCTCTCAGAGAGTGCTTATTAGAGGTGTAGAGTCCAGGCTCCACTTTGGTACAGATTATGCTGTGCGCTGGTTCCCAAGAGATGTAGTTTGTAACAAATTCTAAGCAGTGGTCTGAGAATCACACTGTGAGAAGGGTTTATTTTAGATCAGGAGTTCTCAAACTTAGCATACGTCGGAATCCCTTGGAAAGCTTGTTAAAACAGATGGCTAGGCCCCACCTCCAGAGTTTCTGATTCAGTAAGTTTGGGGTGGGGCCCAAGAGTTTGTATTTCTGGCAAGGGTCAGGTGGTGCCGATGCTGCTAGTTAGGAGACCTCACTTTGAGAACCATGGCCCTAGTGGATGGTCTTCTATGTGGTGCTCTCAGATGAGTGTCTGAAGCATGTGAACCATCATTTGCTATAAGGCATACTTCTGATGCACTTATTGGAAAGCGTGAAGAATATGGTTAGACCCCAAAGGCTGAGAAATAGGTGTTCATATACTTACCTTGAAATTGCAGCAAGTGATAGAACATGAACTGCCCTTCCATGTCATTATATACTCATGTTCATGTTCCCTTTGCCTGGGTTTGTGTCTTGGCATACTTCCTGGTCTTCAGGATGAGCTTAGCCTTTCTACATACTCCCAGATAGAATTCGATGTGTTTTTTTCAACGTGTTGTCATTCCCTCTTTGTACTTATCACATTGATTTGTAATTTAACTGATTATAATATGTATCTCCTTTTAGACTATGAGCTCTCTCTTTCCAGGATTCCAGTTACACTTTCTTAATATACCATATGTGTCTTAACTCGTCTTCTCTATTTTAATATTTTTGACTTTCTATGCTTTATTTTGGATAGTTTCTTCTGACCTATCATTTTCTTCCAGTAAGTCTAATCAGCGGTTAAATTTATCTGTGAACCCATGGAGACCATGTGCTCCACTAACCATGGTTTCCCAATAAATAAGTGAAAGTTAGTAGTCCTTTCTATGGTTACTTTAGTTTTCATCTTTAGCAGAGCTTTGTCTACAAAGTCTGAAATCTGGAGCGTTTTTTTGTTGGTAAGTTTTGTGACAAAATTTATTTGGCAGCAAAACCTGACCTGATGTGAGGCTCTTTGTAGACTTAATTTATTCCACATAGTGAGACTATGCTTACGTTTGCTGTAGTATGTTTGCTTATGAGGTGCTGTCCCAGACCCCGTGAGAGTGTTATGTAATACACATCGTGATTACCTAACACCTGAAAAACTGTATTCTGAAACATCTGGCCTTGGGCATTTAAGACAAGGTGTTGTAGCATTTTTGTAAAATGCTGTTAATTCTTCCATTCACTCATCCAGCATTCACTCACTGCCTACTGTATACCAGACCCTGTGATAGGCTCTGATCGTACAAGGTCGTGGACCTTGTGCTCAAAGGGTTCTCCACCCTGTGTGAGAGAAGTAAATGGAGGCAACGCATGTTCCCACAGAACCTTTCCCTATTTATTTACAAAATTGACGTGTCCTGGGGCGCCTGGGCGGCTCAGTCAGTTAAGCCTCCAACTTCAGCTCATGTCACGATCTCATGGTTCATGAGTTTGAGCCCCTCATTGGGCCCTGTGCTGTCAGTGCAGAGCCTGCTTCAGATCTTCTGTCTCCCTCTCTCTCTGCCCTTCCCCTGCTCATGCTCTTTCAGAAATAAACATTAAAAACAAA